AAGCTCCCATCTACTTAAAGACACAGACTCAAATATTTTGCTGCTTAACTGGTTACTCCCGGACACTGGATAGGCATTTCTTACAAATTTAAAATTAGTATTATTTTATAAGTTCTAACTATACAACTGTCTTAGTAAGAGGAATTTTGTCCTAGAAAATAAGAATAAAGAAATCAATAAAAAAAAAAAACCCATACTCCCCATCAAAAACAGAGGAGGTGGGGGAGGAAAGCCCAGACTTATTTCAGCTGAGTAGTAAACTGTTTCTCTTAAAGCCTAGTATCTACAGCATGGCCCACTGTCCATAGTTCCTACTTCCACAATATGCAAAATGGCTCCACAAAGGCAAAAAAAAAAGTCTTCACATATATTATGTGAAAAAGTCCCATAATTAGATGTGGTATCCAGAATTAATGTTTCTCTGCTGCCTTATGAACTCTTTCCTGAGCTCCAGAAGTGTGCATCTAATTAGCTAATGAACATCTCCATGCTGATGCCTACTAAGAATCTTAAATCCTGCACAAATTCAAATGAATTCCTTTTCACCTGAATCCAAACCTACACCCCTATGTTGAAAGGCACCAACCACCCAAAATGAAACCGTGCCATAAAGGGTGTCATCTGTGGCTGCCCCTCTTTCTATGCCATCTGGACACTCATCTTGCCACTTCTACACCCTCCCCACCTGAGCTCAGCCCTCCTTTTGTCTCTTCTAAATTACACAAGTACCTTTGTTTTTTCTGCTTTAGGATTCACCTCCCACCCCCAAACCCATTCATCACATTGCTGACAAATGTGTCGTTCCTGTTACATTCTTTAATGCTCCCTATCATTTCAAGATAAAATCTAACACACCCCTCAGAATCATGCACCTCGTCTCTGCCCTCTCTTTGGGCTCCAGCCAGAACGAACTACTTGCAACCTCTAACCCACCCTACTCCCTCACACAAGGTGCCCTGTGCCCTCTGCTTCGACTTCCTGCACCCTCTTTCTTATAATAATAGCTAACATTAAGCATTCACGGTAGCAGGTCAAAGCCTAAGTATTTCACCTACTTTTTGTTTTCTTACAAATCTGCTATGATTTCAATCATCTTAAGAATGACTGAAATCTCTCTCACCACCTCATACCCAATAGGATGGCTACTATAAGAAAAAAATAGAAATGTTGGTGAGAAAGTGGAGTGCTTGTGGACTGCTGGTGGGAATGTAAAACCATGCAGCCACCGTGGAAACAGTGTGGCAGCTCCTCAAACGTTAAACATAAATTACCATGTGAACCAGCAATAGAGTGCTTGTGGACTGCTGGTGGGAATGTAAAACCATGCAGCCGCCGTGGAAACAGTGTGGCAGCTCCTCAAACGTTAAACATAAATTACCATGTGAACCAGCAATTTCACTTCTGGATATATGCCCCAAAGTGGTGAAAGCTGGGACTTCAAGAAATATTTGCATGCCCATGTTCATAGCAGCTTTATTCACAATAGCCAACAGTTGGAAGCAACCAAGCATCCATTAATGGATGAACAAAGAAAATGTAGCATATGCATACAATGGAGTATTACTCAGCCTTGAATAGGAAGGAAATTCCGACACATGCTACAACATGGATGACTGAGGACATTTTATTAAGTCAGACAAGCTAGTCACAAAAAAGACAAATACCATATGATTAAACTGATATGAGGTATCTGCAGTAGTCAAATTCATACAGACACAAGACAAATACTGCATGATCTTAGCGGAATCTAAAAAAGTTGATCTCATAGAAGCAGAGCGCATCAGAACAGTTGCCAGAGTCTGGGGACAGCAGGGGTAACAGGGAGGGAGGAAAAGGAGCAATTGGTCAATGGGTACAAAGGTATAGTTAGACAGAAGGAACAGTTCTGGTCTTCTATTGCACAGTAGCATAACTATAGTTAGCAATAATGTACACTACAATAGCTAGAAGGCAGGATTTTGAATGTTCTTGCCACAAAAATACGATAAATGTTTGAGGTAATGGATATGCTAATTATCCTGACTTGATCATTACACAATGTACACATGTATTGAAACATCACACTGTACCCCATAAAATGTACAATTATGTGCCAATTAAAATAAAATTTTTAAAAATGGTTAAGATGTTAAATTTTGTTACGTATATTTTACCACAACTAAAAATAAAAATTACTCCACACTGGCCAGCTGCCAAAACAAAAACAAATAAATTAAAATTTAAAAAGCTTGAAAAGAAAAATCATAAAAATCTAGAATCATAGAATTCTGCACGAAAAAACCACACCCACTCTCTCTCCTGCCCTCCCTCTTCTTTCCCCCCTTTGCAGCAACACTTCCCAGAGCTGCTGCACTGCTCTGCAGGTCACTTTCCCCACTCTTCCCTCCTGTTCTACCCTATTGCTTTAGAAAGGGCTCCCCCAGCAGCAGACCATGCCTCCTTCTAACTAAGTCAAGCACTTCTCAGCCTCCTGGCCCCTCAGCTCCCTCTGTTGCCTCCTCTCCTCCCCAGGATTTGCAGGAGCCCAGGACTCAAGATCTTAAGCTTTTTCTTTTATTTAGCAGTTCTTTTTGCTACTTTTTTTTTTAAAGCTAGTTATTTCTGCTTCTAAACCTAATGTTTCAATATTCCCCGAAATGTCACTTCTAAAAACTACTAACACAGATTGCCTATCATTTTGCTTCATTATACAAGAGAACTTCAAAAAGTTCATGGAAAGATTCATATTATCTTTCTTTTACTTCTATTTTTCCATGAACTTTTCGAAGTACCCTGGTAACAACTCTTCTTGAGTACACAGGCATTATGGTGATAAGCCCTTGAGAAAGGTCTAAATACGGACACAATGGGAGCAGGTCAGACTTGCTGGGTCCTGAGTTGTGGAATCTCTGCTGCTTTAGTGAAAGATGTGGCTGGCGAGGAGGGAAGGCAGAGGTGCTGCTCTGAAGGGTTTTTCAACACATATGAGGACTTAACAAGACTTCTGAGAAGTGACAGAACGGCTGGTCTCTCATCTCCACGTGCCTGCCCACCTCACCCACTGTTTGTCTGTGTGTCTGGCGGTCGTGTAGTTGACATCCACCCCACGCTGCCATGCCAAAAGAGTGAATGAACACTGGGATAACCTGGCTCCAGTGGGTATTTTAATAAAGGCGGAAAATGAGGAATTTACAGACGCATGATTCAAGCTCCCACTTCAAAGGTCCTTGACTGAAATCCTCCTGAAACT